AGGCGATTTCCCCGTCCTGGAAAGAGTTCGTAAAGGAGAAGGTATGTGTGGGTGTGACACGTGCACTATGGTTATTGTGATGGGGAGGACAGAAAACGGGGCTTGAAGATCTCCAAAATATTCTTTGTCCTTCCCCTTAACTGTCAAGTGTCAGCTTTCTTCTTCCCTCAGACCCCACCCCAGTTTATATTTACCCTCTGTTAGGAGTTATTTTCAGCAATGGAAAGAAATGGAAGGAGATGCGCCGCTTCTGCCTCTTGACCCTGAGGCATTTTGGGATGGGGAAGAGGAGCATTGAGGACCGAGTTCAAGAGGAAGCCCGCTGCCTCGTGGAGGAGTTGAGAAAAACCAATGGTGGGTGATTCTCTGCTCAGTCGCTGTGACCTTAACACATTGTATTCTCTAGTGTCATCCTAGTGGACACATCAGGGTGGCCCAAATCTTCCATTAGGGGTGGTGGTTGTTAACCCTTGTGTGGAGACGGAGAGTTTGAAGCAGAGTTTGATACACAGAAGCATTTCTGTACGTATGCTTGTGTGTGTGTGCGTGTGTGTGAGTGTGTGTATGTGTTCATTCATGATTGTGTGCACAGTGTAGGTATCAAAGGTCCTTTCATCTGTTTCTCTCCTGAGGTCTGTTTGTTTTTAAATGAGAAATCACGAGGAATATTTTGAGTCATTTTCTGAATGTGTGAGAGAGCGGTGTTTCATACTGCAGCACATTTCACCAGGGCTGCCAGCCAAGCATGTAGTGGGAGTGACCTCGGGAAGCAAGTGACATGTGTTTTCACTTCACTGGATGTGTTTATATGGACAGAACTCACACCCTTATGACAGTCACTGCCCCAGACCAGGTCTGTAGTTTTGGCCAGTAATAATGCCGTCTGTTGATAGATTTTAATCAGGTAGGCATGTCCTTTTGCTAATCTAAGCAATTATGGTTTCTCATTTCATTTCATTAGGAAATATTTTCTCACTTTTCAAAATTCCTTATGCAGGTAATTGCTACTATCTCTCTAAGGGATCACTTTCTGATATTTCTTTCAGACCTGTTCTGAGAGATGTTTCTTGAATTCTTGTTTTTTTTTTTAATTTTGTGGGGATCCAACATTTAAGTAAATGTACAATTTCCCTGTCTTTATGGATTGCATTTTTGTAAGGCAAAGTCCTACCAAGTATTCCTAGTTAGATTTTCCATGAGATTCTGAATTTTCTTTATTTATACATGAAGTTTCTGTGTGACACTGTGTACACCTTCACAGTTAGTGAGGCTACGGATTTCGTTGTAATGGGTGCTTGAAATTTGTGCTCCCCTGTAGTACTACAACTCCTTAGCTGGCTTCACAAAATGTGCTAGGGATTTTCAGACTCTCTATCATTGCTAAATCAGTGTTTTCATGCGAGAATAATGGCTGGCACTTTCTATTCTGCCAATTTATTGATGTCACTGTTATGCAATATATTGATTCAAATCTTTCGTAATGATATCTACAGGGGTGAATTTTAGACCTTTTCTTTATACAATCTTTCAGGGGTGATTAAGTTGCCACAATGGGGTTTGCAGATCTCTTACCAAGGAAATAAACCCGTTTTCCCTGTAAAATTTCTTTACTGAGTGTAGAATTGACCTAGCCTAGATCTGGAAAAATCTTAAAAATAAATGAAAATACTACTGTTTTTCTTCTTACTAAACATAATCCTACAAGATTTTGCAGCAAAATTTTCCCAATAAATTAATTGTTGCTAGTGAGTAGAAATGATGGACATTTGATTTCTAGGGAGGAAAGTTTATTTCCAGTGATGTGAAAAAATGAAAACTAACAATCAATTTTCATTTTTGGTTTGACTTACCTGGGATTTATATTGGAAATTTCTCTTTTGATTTCTGCTTTGAACAAAGTGTCTTATAATTTTTTTTAAAGATTTATTTATTTTTTATACAAGAACCAGAGTACAAGCCAAGTGCACGGGAGGGTACGAGGATTCACCGGAGACAGAGCGGGTAACAGAACAGGGAGACTGACGAAATATACTGCTGGGGGAACAGCGGGCGAGACAGGAGAGGTCTGCTTTGCCATGTGGGATTCTGGCCGGGATCGAACCCGCGCTACAGAGTCTGCAAGCAGCTTCATAGTGCGGCGCTCAATGGCCTGCACCACCAGGGAGGCCCAGTGTCTTATAATTTGTATTCACTTGTTTAGTTACTTGTTAGTCAACATAGATAGGTCCCACTCTTTGTATTTATTCTTTCAAGAATATGATTTTACCCATAATCTTTCCCTCTCTTTTCTTTGCCCTCTGCTGATACTGCGTATTTTGTGTATTTATTTATTAAACAAAAAGCTTTCAAGTCCTTAACTATTCCCTCTATCTGTGTGGAAGCTTAACTCTCTGTAGACTTTGTGTACAAGTGAGGTTCAGCCCTAATAACTTTATTAACAATTATATAAAAATGATTTTAAGGGCCTCACTGGTGGCTCAAGGGGTTAAGTCTCAGCACTACACTGAAGCCATTCCCAGCAAGGGAATTACCCACATGGCTCAGCAGACCTCTCCTACCTTGTCCCCTGCTCCCCTCAGCAGTGTGATTCAGTCAGTCTGCTAGTACTGCACCGCACTCTGTCTCTGGTAGACCCTTTTACCCTCCACACCTCTGGCCTACACCGCAGCTCTTGTATGCACAAAGAAATAAAATAAATCTTAAAAATAAATGTTTTCTGTTATATTCTTTCTTTTTGCCTATTATTAAGTCAACCTGATTGGAAAGAGTATGAACAAAGACAATGGAAGTAAATGAATATTCAAAAATAACCACTATTTAACTAGATAGGTTGAACCATATGTCCCAGGTTAATGAAAAAGTGGTATGTTGATTTCAATTTTTATGATCATTATTATGGAGACCGTGATTGAAAACACTGTGTATGCTTTAGGGCTATAGCTTCACAGTGCTGCCATCGTATGTTACCACACCATGCTTCCCACCCAACCTCCCTTATTCCTTCGCCATGAGCTCCTTCCTCCTTTCCTTTCCTCTTTTACCTTACTTTCTGGTGGCCTCAGTTCTGCATTAGATTTCAAGGGTTTGTTTGGGTCTGTTCCTTTGCTTTGTTTCTTTATATTATCATATGCATGAAATCACCCAGTGGATCTTTTACATTGTGACTTCTCTTTTTAGCATAATCCTCTCCTTTCCACTTACATTGTTTCAAATGGCAAGATTTCAGACCTGAATACTAGCTGAGTAGTATTCCCACGTGTATACATATCCCATTATCTTCATAGACTCATCTGGTGATAGATACCTAGGTTATTTCCATACCTTGACTATTGTAAATAGTGCTACAGTAAACATAGAGTGCATATACCCCTTCAAATTAGTGTTTTTGCATTCTTTGGTGATACCTAGGAAAGAGATTGCTGGATTGTATGGTAGATCTATTATTCAATATTTGGAGAAATCTCCATGCGGTTTTCCATAGATCCTGCACTAGTCTACATTCACTGATATGTTCCTTTTATAAGTAATGTCTCTTGCAATTAAAGGAATTTATATGTCAGGCAATGAACTTCCTTACATATTTTTTCCTGTTATCTAAAAACAAAGTGTTTTCCTATCTGTATATGTGTATGTCTGTGTTTGTATTTTGTTTAATAGTGTTTGCAAATTGTTTCTGATTTTTTAGCTTCACCCTGTGATCCCACTTCTATACTGGCCTATGCACCCTGCAATATGATCTGCTCAATAATTTTCCAGACTCGCTTTGATTATAAAGATCCAATGTTTTTAAACATAATGGGAAGAATCAGTGAAAATGTCTCAATTTTGAATTCTCCATGGATTCAGGTGAGGTCCTGATCCTTTTTTCAGAGGAATCGTTTAGTTCTTTTGTCTAAGAAGTCCAGATCTCTGCATGCACCAAGCTGCGAAGTGCATGTGTGAGCACCACAGTCCTGCCTAGATAGATTCAGCCTCAGAGAGTGGTCATCTGGGAAAGATGGCCTAGACAATTAAAGATACAAGAGAAATCATATTCTCAGAACACAGACCTGGAATCCAATCCTATTGATCCTATTTCAGGTTGTTTCTACTACACTCCAAAACCCAGATTCCATGTTCTTTGGTAACTTCCTCAAACCATGTCCAAAGAATGAAATAGACCCCAGGTCCTTGTTGAAAGACTTCTATCCCTCAGTACTCTGTCATCCTGTTAACTCTCAAGAAGTCTAATTCACACTGCTGGCAGAAATAGGCAAATTTAGGAAGAAAAAGTGTATTTCTTTCAAGGAGGACGAATAGTCGAGACAACAGAAGCTCCAAGGAACACATATTAGGGTTGGGTTTTTTGAGGTATCAGATGGGATCCTACGTGTGAAAGTACTTGTTTTGGGGATGATGAATTGATTGGTTTTATGGTAACTAGCCCATAACAAATCTCACAATTTCCCCTGTGCTGTTCCAATGTGTTTTGCAGTCTGCCTGAAACATAATGATATGTCAGATAATGTCACTTCACTACACTTGTGCAGTTACACATAAAATGTTGAGGTGTGTTTCCTGGTATCTTCAGTACTCTCCCGGTCCTCAAGTACTGATTCTATGTTTGAGGCTTCTAAACATATATAGAAATGGCTGAGACTAACTACGCCGAGCTTTTTATAAGATTCCCCAACCTTCCTTCATCTCTGTTGTCTTAGTCATAGTAATTTATGCCATCCATATTTCCAGAATTGACCTAAGCAAAAAGAGAATTGATATAAAATTAGCTTGTAGTATAAGTGTGGTGTTTGAGAATGGAAAATGATACCCTGATCAGAAATGTCTCTCTCCAACACTCTTAGCAGCCTATAAAATTATACATGTGTAAGATAAAAATTTTCCTCAAGATAGAGACCACATTTTATGAGTATTTATAACGTGGTCTCCACCTAAGCCTTGTCTCTGTCATATAAATCGTCAGTAATTTTCTTTATTGAGTAAGCTCTAATTTTCTCTTCTAGATCTGTAATATGTTCCCTGTTCTCCTTGACTTCTTTCCTGGGAGTTTTAACAAATTATTTAACAATATTTCATATTTAAAAAGCTATGTTTTGGAGAAAATATTGCAACACAAAGCATCTCTTGATATTAATAATCCTCGGGACTTTATTGATTGTTTCCTTATCAAAATGGAAAAGGTAAAAATTAATGACAGTTGTTTTTCTACTTAATTGCTTGTGTATATTATGGTTCATGGAATTGTTCTGTATTTATCAGGGATGTTTCAGTGGTCAGTAGCTAAGACTTCCAAGCTCTTTCATACCTACATTGTATGTGCCTGTACACTATGTATTATGGAAGTCTTAAAATTAAACAGCTAATTAAATGGAATACATTGATCTTGTTTCTAGATACTAATTTCAGTATTGTTTTGGCTGTTCTGGTTCCCTTGTATTTCATTATGAATTTAGCATAATGTAATTTCTGCAAAGACGCCCGTGTGGATTTTGATACACCTTGCTTGCCTTACCTGTGAGGCAGTAGAAAATGATACTTCAGTCTACTGACCTCCAGTGTTTTGGATACCATATGGGAATTTTTCTAGAACTGAACATGCACTTGATTTTTTGGTGAAAAATTTATAACAGTCTGAATATATTTGGACTAACTATAAATAATTCTGGCAAAATAATTAGTCAAGTCATTTCATCATTCCTAGGAAAAACACAATCAAGACTTGGAATTCACTCTAGAATCCTTGGCATTTACTGCACTTGATCTGCTTGGAGCTGGGACAGAGACTACGAGCACCACCCTGAGATATGCTCTCCTCCTGCTGCTGAAGCACCCAGAGATCACAGGTATGACCAATGTGGTGGGCAGGGTGAGTTTCAGGGAAGTTGCTGAAAGACACTACAAGTGCTGCATTGCCTCCTGTTTCTCTTAGAGAACCTTCATTATTTAATTATCTATCTGACGAGCTTAATGTTCCCAAGTATAATGAAGATATAATAATGGGACATCTTTATATAATATGGGAGGATGAATAGGAGTGAAGTCTCCATGGGCAGTCAGAAAAGCCATCAGGTAGTGACTGCATTTCACGGGAGCTTATTTGTGGCAGGTACATCCATATGAATCAACCTGGGACTGCATATTGTTTTTCCTAAGAAAAGGTCCCTTGAGGGCCTCCCCTGGTGGTGCAATGGTTGAGCACTGGGCTGCGAAGCTGCCTGCATCCTCAGCAGCGCCGGTTCAAATCCCCGGCCACCGGCATGGGTCCCTCATGGCGCGACAGACCTCTCCTGCTGCACCAGCTGCTCCCCTCAGCAGTGTGTTTCGTCGGTCTGCCTGTTCTGCTACAGCTCTGGCTCTGGTGTATTCTCTCACCTGCCCGCGCTTCTGACTTCTGACTGTCCCCAGTGCTTGTGTAAATAAATAAATCTTAAAAACAAAATGTCAGGTGTAGAGACTTATAAAAAAAAAAAAGAAAAGGTCCCTTTGAAAATAGGTGTATTACCCGAGATCTCTCCTATTCTAAAAATGTATGTTTTAAATCCGGGCGGGGGGGGGGGGAATGTCCCTATTAAAAAATAAGTGGAAAGCTTTGAAATCTTGTTGTCTGCCTGAGATAATTTCTGCAGTCAAGGAAGTGGTCAACAAATTAAATCACATATGTGTGTTTCTACCACTCAGGCTTAAGATGTGCATGAAGGTTTTGAATTCAGAAGTCTGTGTCCAGTAAAGTGATATTTACAAAATAGAACTTTGCCAGCCCATGCTTTTCTGTCTTTTACAAAGATCTTCCTGTTTATATTTAATAAGTTGCAGTTTTGCATTATGAATTTGAAACATGCGTTATATTATCCTGTGAGGAACCTGCTGAAACGACTATAGCCAATGAGAAATGAGAATGTGTCCTTGCAATCTGGACAGACTAACTCAGGAAACAATTAACAAATACAGTTTCTAAAACGCAAATAGCATTTTGATCAGTGATGGTGACTCAGTAGAGAGGTGGAAGTTGTCATCTAAATGTCAGAAGAGGGGCCTCCCTGGTGGCGCAAAGGGTTAAAACACAAGACTATGAAGCTGTCCCCAGCCTCTGCAGCATGAGTTGGATCCTGGGCCAGCCAGGGAGCAACCCACCCGGTGCTGCAGACCTCTGCTGACTCACCCGCTGCTCCCCTCAGCAGTGTACTTCCATTGATGTGCCTGTTCTGTTCTCTGCTCTGTCTCTGGTGAATCCTCTCACCTTTGGCCTGTACCCCTGCTCTTATATGCATAAAAAATTAAATCTTTTAAAAAAATGTCAGAAGAGGACATATATGAAGAAGTCATTTGTATCCCTCTAGGTTGTAGCATTTGGAAGTGTCAAAAAAGAATGAGGAGAGGGCCTCCCCGGGGCGCAGCGGTTGAGCGCTGGGTTGCAAGCTGCCCGCAGCCTTGAAAGCGCTGGTTCGATCCCCGGCTGCTCCCCAGCCACCGGAGGAGGGTCCCACATGGCGCGCAGACCTCTCCTGACACCCGCTGCTCCCCTCAGCAGTGTACTTCAGTCCTTCTGCCTGCTCTGCTTCCGCTCTGGCTCTGGTGAATTCTCTCACCCTCCCACGCTTCTGACTGTACCCAGTGCTTGTATAAACAAACAAACAAACAAACAAATAAATAAATAAATCTTTAAAAAAATGATATGGTACATACACATGATTAAAAAAAATAAACAAGAGGGGCAATAGGCAGAAGGTAGCTTTCCCCCCCAGATTCCCTCCACACCTTGCTTTATCAGGTATTTGTTTTGATCCAATAGAATGAGAGAGCTGTAATATGTAGAGAAGCTGAACCTAAAAGACCTTGCCCTCCGGATCTCCCCTGGTGGCACAGGCGGTTGAGCGCCACACTGTGAAGCTGTCCGCAGCCTCTGCAGTGCCGGTTCATTCCTGGCTGGCGGTGAGGGTCCCACATGGCACTGCAGACGGCTCCTATCATGCCCGCTGAACCCCTCAGCAGGGTATTTCATCAGTCAGCCTGTGCTGCTCCCCACTCTTTCTCTGGTGAATCCTCTCACCCTCCCGCGCATCTGGTCTATACCCTGGTTCTTGTGCGGAAAAAAAAAAATAAATAAACAAACAAACAAACAAACAAATATATAAATAAATAAAAGACCTTGCCCTCAGAGACACTGGCAGGTGGAAATAGGTTAGGTAAGAAAATCTATTTCTTGAATTCAGAGAATCTTAGCTCCTTTTCTAGCTTGATTCCTGAAATTCAGCAGTAGGAGAATAAAGTCCAGAGAGTGAAAAGCTCTGGCATTATAGATAGGAAATTTGCCTTTGTGCTAATATATAAGTATTAAATTTGTGTCTTAATTCTAGCTTATAAGAGAGTTAGATGTATCTATATTATGGCTATTATCTCTCTAGGTCTAGGTATATCTCTTGGTACAGGGCTGAGGTTTTTAATGATGTCGGGAGACTGATACAATGCTCCATGTATCCCTTAACTGATATGCAGATGTGATGGGTGTTCTCTTTTCTCATCAGTCTTACTTGTGTTTTGTCAGCTAAGGCGCAGGAGGAGATAGAACGTGTGATTGGCAGACACCGGAGCCCCAGCATGCAGGACAAGGTCCACATGCCCTACATGGAAGCCTTGGTGCACGAGGTCCAGAGATACATTGACGTCGTCCCCGGGAACCTGCCCCATGCAGTGACCCGTGACATCAGATTCAGGAACTATCTCATCCCCAAGGTGTGTTGGTTGTGCTTTTACTGACATCATGAATCTACTGAGAAGTTCCCCTTTTCACAGTTGGGTCCAATCCTCCGGACTAGATGAGTAAATTATAAAAATCATATATGTGGCCAGTTGATGGGTTTTTTGTTGTTTCTGTTTGAGACCAAATTTTGATAATAGCACCTTTCTATTTATATGTGTAAGAGACATTTGTGATTGGTGGTGTACTTTCCTGATGATTACAGTTTGTTCCAGGGGTTAGGATCAAATTCACTGTTTTCACCAAAGGACATAATGAGGAGAAGAGTTCTTTTCGAATACTGGGGTCAAAGAGCAATATTTAATTGAACTCATTCTGCTATTTCAAGGCCAATAACAATGGGGCACTGGGCTAAGTAGGATTGTACATGTTTCCCATCTGCCCCAATTGGGAATGATCATTCCCCTTTTTTGGGGATACACTGACATAGACTAGGCAGCACTGCAGGGCTGAGTGTGTCTTCTACCATTTACATAATGTTTTCTAATCCAAACCGGATCCACGGATCAAGGTACAGTCTAAGACAGAAGTTGGTAAAAAAAACTTTCCCTAGTGGGCCAGATTTTAAACATTTCAAATTTTATGGGGCTTGGAGTATCTGATGCCAGTATTGACATCTGTCATTGTAGCAGGGAATCCATCAGAGACATTTGTAAACAAATGTGGGTGACAAATTCTCAATTTTATGAAAGCCCAAGTTTAGGCTTCATACACTTTTCATGTGCCAAAGATATTTATTCTGCCTCAGTTTTTTTCAATGGAAAATGCTTACCTCCTGGGCTAACCAAAAACATAGGATAGACTTGATTGCACATGGGTTGTTATTTTTCCGTGTCTGTCTAACAGCACGCTTTGAAATGATGTGAGGTGAATATTACTCAGCATTCAAAAAAGATAAACACATGCAATTTGCAGCAACATGGATGGCACTGGAAGGGATCATGCTCAGCGAAATAAGCCAAAAAGAAAAAGAAAAATACCGGATGGTCTCACTCATAGCAGGAATCTAGAAAACTTAAATAAGGGACCAGGAAAATGAATAACTATAAGAAAGTGAAAATCAAAATCAACAAAAAACTATGAACCAGAGACAGTTTTTGGGGGGTGGGGGCCGGGAGGGGAGGGATTGGGGTCAGAATGGGGCATGTGCAGTTGTATGGGGGAATATAAAAATAAAATTTAAAAAAAAAAAAAGAAATGATGTGAGGTGATTTGTGTTTTTCTGGGACCCATCTGAGGGAAATTTTGCAGCCCAGGGTTCAAGATATACCTTCATCTATTTTTGAAACTTATCATTTTAGTTCCCATGTTTAATACTGATCCATTCAACTAATTTTTACTCATGCAAAAGCAGTGGTGAAGTAGTGGTCATGCTTCGGTATGAGTATCCATTGTTTGAACAACATTTGATGAGATTATATTGGCTGTATTTTTTTTTTTTTGCTTTATTGTATCTTAAAAACATTTTTCATATTTGATTATTTCAATATAAACAGAAATAATTTTTCCAATAGAGATATAGAATTTTTATATGGTAAACTTAGGGAATGGAATTTTCTCCAAATTTGCATTAAATTTTAAAAAATCTGAACACATTAAAGGCATATAAATGTAATGGATGTATGTGCCTTACATGTATATGCCTTACATGTAATGGATGTAATGGATGAAACCATCTAACCTGCATGCCCCAGGTCTTCAATATATATATCCAAATAATGATTTTTAGACAGAAAGCAGATTTCACAAGAGTTACCATTATGAAATAATGTCTAATGTGGAACCTGTGTAGTGTTCCCAGCTTTCCTAAACTATCCCAGAATAGCTTTTCTTTTCTTGTATTCCATCAAGGAACCACATATAGTTTGTTTGTCTTTTCTGTTTAGATTCCTGGGATCAGTTGTCTTTGCTCTGTTTGTTTCTTTCAGTTCTTCAGCTTTGTGAAAAGTCTGGCTGTGGTCATAAAAATATTCCTCAGAGTTATGTTGGGCGAAATTTCCTAGAGACTAGCTTCCCATTATGATTTTGCCCAGAGAAGTACATAGTGCTCTGAATGTCCCACTGAAACCCAGTGAGGCAGCTGAGGGCACATGAAGTCACTTATTCCATTATGGCCATGCTATGTTCCCCACATAATATCATGGTACCTGCCAGATTGTGAGTATGGTGCTACCGAACCGTTCATCCAATCCTAAAACCTTTGATAACAATCAATTGAATTAATGATCATAAGACAGTTGTTGAAAAATGACTATATTTCTCCTTTTGTCATCCTTTCTGTTTGTGGCTGGGATCAATCTGTGAATGAAATCTACCCCATGTTTTTGAATTAATAGAAACAACCTGCTGGGGCAGTGATAAAAACACTGAGAGTTGTTACTGTACTTACTTTATTATCACATAAGTTTTTTTTTCTTTTTTTTTTTACACTGCTGAGGGTAGCAGCGGGGGAGACAGGAGAGGTCTGTTCACCATATTGGTTGCTCTGAGGCCGGTGGGGATCGAACCAGCGCTGCAGAGCCCGTGAACAGCCTCACAGCTCTGTACCCAACCACCGGTGCTACCAGGGAGCCCCACATAAGTTATTTTTAATTTGATTGATTACAAAATGTCTGTGTGTAACTCCAGACATTTCAGGTTAGATAGAGATTTCCATTTGTAAGCATAATCCATATACGAGATGCTTAAACAATGAAATGATAAAATCAAGGTACGGATGAGGAAATACCCTCAGGGAAATGTGATGAACAGAATGGCTTCAGAGGCCTGGCACCCAGGGTTCAGATACTCACTACTTTAGGTGCCACTTAGCAACATCACTGCCACTGGTCATATGCTGTTTCTTGTTATTACTTATTCTGGCTGACTTAGAATGCCCTTTACCTTCATGGTGTAAGGTTTTTTTAATCTTTAGATGCTAAGATGGGACTAAATGATTTGTAGCTTTTCATGTAGCTCCACGACTTCATAAGACATTTTAATTCTTTTTTTTCCAGGGCACCACCATATTGACATCACTGACTTCTGTGCTGCATGATAGCAAAGAATTCCCCAACCCAGAGGTGTTTGACCCAGCCCACTTCCTGGATGGGAGTGGCAACTTTAAGAAGAGTGACTACTTCATGGCTTTTTCAGCAGGTAGTGTATCTTTTGTATTCTTTGTGCATCAGAGGACAAAATACCTTGTGAGGATTGTTAGGAACTTCCATGGTACCCTCTCCAAGGCTGGTGTAGGTTCTCTTGTCCAGTAGCAGGAGCACCGAACCCTGTATCCATGCACTTTCCCTCCTCATGATTCAGTCTTCTCTTTGAGCTAGATCACTGTAGAACTGGGGAATTGATCCAGTTCTTCAAATTCAGAAATGATTTAGTACGAGGGCCTGAAAATATAAGAGTCATGCATCTTGCCAAAGGAACAGCACTGTAATATAAAACTTGAAACTTCACAGTGCTTTGGGAGTGGTAGAGAGCAGGTCTATGTGGAGTGCAGAACTGAGACAGTGAAGAATGAGAAGATCATGAGCCACCAGATCCATGCAGAAGAAAACATGGCCAAAATATGTGTTTCTAGAAAGATACAGCTGGAAAATTGAGGTGTCAAACAGGCAGTTATAATGTGAGAATTCTTAATGAACTATTTGGTACAGGGCTGATACTGAGTAAACATTTGTTGTGAGGAGGATACCTGTTCCTTTAACATTCAAGTCAGAGCACGTGTTTCAACCCTTTGTCCAGCTATAGCCAACCATCCCATTCCATCCATCCATTCACCCTGTCATCAAATATTTATTGAAATTCCCTTTCTCCTTTTTCCATTTCCATTTGAAGCTTTATTTATTTTTCTTTTACATCATTGTATTCCCCATAGTTCTCCTGCCACTGTATCTCCCACCAGCCATCACCATATCCCTTGGATTCATCCCTCCCATTTTGCTTCTTCCCCAATTCCCCTCCCGTCCTTTAGTGTGTGGCTGAGTTCTGTGGTCAGCTGCTAGTTTTGATTTATCTTGACCTTTTGTTTGGTTTCTCTGTATTCTCCTTGTAAGTGATACCATCCAGTATGTTATACATTCCTTTTCTGAAGTCAGAAACACAGTGTTCAAGGATCATCTCCTCTGTGTGCTTGTTATTTTCAGGAAAACGGGCATGTGCAGGAGAGGGCCTGGCCCGCATGGAGCTGTTTTTATTCCTGACCACCATCTTACAGAAGTTTACCTTGAAGTCTGTTGTTGACCCCAAGGACATTGACCCCACTCTAGTTGCCAAGGGGCTTGTTTCTGTACCTCCTCCTTACCAGATCTGCTTCATTCCTTTGTGAGGTTTCTGCTGTCATGTCCACATCTCCCACTCACCTGATGCCCCTGTCATCTCCTTTTGTCTCCCTTCCCTTTCTAGAAAAGTTATCTCTGACCTCTCCTCTACTCATCACCCCATTCTGTCAGGATCCAGGCAGGAACATCCATCTCCACTAAAGGAGGATTTCCAGTTTCACTCAACAAATATATGTATAGCTTCTTCTTGCTCTGTAATATTGTATTGGGCATCTCATATGCCAAAACTTATATGGTATTGAGTAGTTAGTTCTGTGTCATCAGTGTGACAGAGTGAGATGACTGGTGTGTGTAATACAGACATTTTTCTTTTGCATGTTCTAAATAAAACTCACAATCTGATGAACCAGTTCTCATGCTTTCATTCCTTTGTGTATAATGCAGATTACAGATGGATGAAAATAATTTACAAGGAGACCATGCACAGAAAAGGACAAAATCTTGAGGGTAGACCAGCATGTCACCTAGAATAACTTGTGATTTGGAAATGCAAGTGCGAGAATGTGTTTAGGAGCAGCTACATCTGAAGAAAACTATGACATCAGTGATTCAAAAGTGTCTATTTCTATCGAGTTCTAGATGAGGCATAAGTAATCTGTGGTGCTAGAATCCAGAGCATTGTTAATTTTGAGGAAGATGAGTGA